CTGAATTCAACTATCTATTCAGCACCTATCATGTACCACGTGTAGGCTAGACAAAGAAACATACAGGGATTGTGTAAGCCATATGGAGATCAAAGTCAGAGTTTCAACAGCAAGTAGAACTAATTAGATAGATGACAGATAGATAGACAGATAGATAATAAGAAGGGTAGAGAAGCACAGAAAGAGGGAAAAAGGTAGAGAAAGGGAGAAACAGGGAAGGAAAGATGAAACAAGAAAGGAAAGAAGGAATAAAGAAAGTAAGGTGGAAGGGAGGGAGGAAGAAAGAGGGAGGGACAAAAGGAAAAAGAGAAGGAGGGAGGGAGGAAGAAAAGAAGGGAAGAAGGAAAGGAAAAAGAGGCGAGGGGAGCTAAGCAGACAGGTAGGCAGGCAGCCAGCCTCTAAGGTGGCCCCCAGAGATCCCCTCTTTCTGGTATTTACTGTCTTGTATAGTCCTCTTCCCTTGAGCAACTTGCTTCTAGCCAATAGAGATTGAGGATATGTCACTTCTATGATTAGGTTACAAAAGACTGTGACTTCTATCTTGCTAGCAGGTTCTCTCGTGCTATCTTTGATGAAGCAAACAGTCACTAAAGGCACATGTGGCAAGAAACTGAGGGTAGCCTCCAGCCAACAGCCAGCAAGGAAGTGAGGTCTTTGGTCCAACAACACTGAATCCAGCCAACAGCCATGTAAGTGAGCTTGGACGTGGATCCTTCCCCATTCAAGCTTTCAGATGAGACCCCAGGCCTGGCCATCAACTTGATTGCAGCCTTATAAGAGATCATGACGCAGAGGGCCCAGCCAAGCTGTACTCAGATTTCTGACTCACAGAAACTGTGAGATAATAAATGTGTGTCATTTTAAGCTACAAACTTGGTTATTTGTTATGTAGTAATAGATAACTAATACAGATAGACAGATAGATATAATTTTATATTATTTCATGGGAGTGCTAGTAATTAGAAACCTCTAGACTCTGAGAAACTCTGTTAGCATGTACTAGTGTTTTAACTCCTTACATATTCTTCCCAACATTATATAAGCAAGAAATATCTCTTCCCCTTCAAACTTCAGTTGGTAATCAGGGGAAAAAAGAGGAGAATATTTTGTTGAGGATAGTAATAGTGATAACGATAATAGTAAAAATGATAATTGTAACCAGCACTCAGCACTTATTCTTTATCAGGCAGTGTTCTAAATCCTTTAGGGCTATTAAAGTACCTAACATTCTCAACATTCCTATTTGGTTGTTGTTGTTCTCTGTCAGCCATTAAGTTGGCCCCCAATTCATGATGACCCTGTGCATAATGGAACTAAACACCGCCCAGTCCTGTGCAATCCCCATGACTGGTTGTGGATCGGACTGTTATGATCCACAGGGTTCTCACTGACTGATTTTTGGAAGTAGATCTCCCCAGACTTTTCTTTCTAGTCCTTCTTAGTCTGGAAGCTCTGCTGAAACTTGTTCAGCATCATATCAACACCCAAGTCTCCACTGGCTAACTGGTGATGGCTGTGCAAGAGGTGCACTGGCCAGAAATTTAATCCAGGTCTCCTGCATAGAAAATGAGAATTTTACCACTGAACCACGACGACTATTATCCCTATTTTGCAGAGGAGAAAAGAGACACTGAATAACTTGTCCAAGGTTACACAGTTTGTTAGTTACAAAAGGTTACCAAGCATTACTTCAAATCACCTTCTCATCTATTCCCTAACATAACTTTCTAGGTGATTGTATCTGAAATTCTAACCTAGGTCTATCTGACTCCAAAGTCCTCACTCTTTCCACTACAGAATGGTGTACTTAATAAGTAAATTTATTTATTGAAATAATAAATACAATATAATGAACGCTACTCCATGTTAAGCAAAGTGCTAAGCTTTCTACATCCAATATCTCATTTTGCTCCCCACAATCGTCTGAGTTAGTCATTGTTATCCTCATTTTGAAGAGAATAAAAAAGATGTTAAACTAGGAATCTTCTTTGTAAGTGAAGAAAGCAATACTTAACCCATAGGATGGTTTAAATGTTAAATCAGAATATGTTATGATAAACTGCTGAGTAAAGAATATTTAAAGTGCTTCACAAAGAGTATTTTAAAAATGTTTCCATGTCTGAGGAATGCTAATATTGTGCCAGGTTGTGCAAAGCCACAGGACAAAAATAAGTGCATATCCCCGGAGTGTTTATTTTACTGTGAGATCATGTTGCAATTAATTTAACTGGTAGGTAATTTAAACATTAAAAAAAAAAAGACCGTCAAGTAAACACAGTTTGCTTTTTTTTAAGGGAGAAAAGAGGCGTTTTGTTTTTGTTTTAAATGGTATGCCAGAGCTATATCCCCAGACTTTCAGGAGTAGTATGAGCTCTCTTCTGTGATTGGGAAAATATCAGTATAAAAATATGAACAGTTCTGAATTGAAACTCTGGGCTGATAACTGTGGTTTTCAGCAACCAGGGTGCTAAATATCCCCTCCACCACCACCTACCTGAGAAGGGACTATAAGTCAGTTCTCAGGGCTGGAAAAAATGACTTGACAGCAACCCTTCCATACCTCCCACCTGCAACACAGGGGCTGGGAGAAATACTGCAGGCCTCATTCAGAGGGGCTCCCTGCCCATTTCATGGAACAGGCCATATTGAGTCTCCAACATGGCAGAAACTCAAGGTAGGGGGGAATTCCTGCTCTTCTCTGACACTGCTGCTCAGAACAGCTCATCCAAGAGCCTTTGCCTTGACAGGCTCTCTGTGATCAAAATGACAGCAATGATTTGCCCTTTATTCCATGACTTCCCAAGTACTACTAATTCCTTCTCTCTTACACCAAATCTTGCTTAATAAAATAGAAAGATAGCTGGTGTCATAAAATGTGAGCACAGTCTTTCAGTGATGGTTTGGGGCATGTTATGAGCCTGATGAGCCTAGGTTTGTACCCCAGCTCTGCTACTTCCTAAGTTATGACTGTAAGAAAGCTATTGAATCTTTTGGAGTTCAGTTGCCTCTTTTGTAAGATGGAGCTACTGATATCTACTTGAAAAGTTGTTGAGGGAACTAATTGTGACTTGTGACAATATATGCGAAATGCCTGGCATATTGCTCAGCTCAGAAAACAGAAGCTCTTACCTGACTGACCTCCTGAGTCATTCTGTAGCTACAATAACTCTAGGTCACACAGGACATGTGATTTGCCTAAGGTCACATTTCAGAATCTGACTCCCTTAGTTGGTGACTCTTACGTGCTGGGCTCTGTGCTAGCAGATGTGACTATGAATGGGCATTGTCCTTCAGGGAATTCACAGTCCACTGGTGAAGATCACCAATAAGTAGATAATTAAAGCCCAACCTTTTATGTGCTTTGTGAGAAATCATCAACTTGACAGTCCCGGAGCTTACTGAACATGGAACGAACACCTCAGAATGCTCAGGAGCCCAGGAAGGTGGGAGAAGCAAGCAGCCCTGTCTCCTGGCCCTATGAGGTTTTGCCTGCATCCACTGGCTCCCAATTCTGAGCAAAATCTGCTCTGGGCCCTTTAGTCCCAGACTGGGCTCCCTCCTCAGTCCAGTCCTGACTCAACCTATTCTTTGCCTATCTGCTAAAACACGAGCTGGCAAGTTCATTACTGAGGCCTGAGCCCAGAGCTCTATTCCAACCCAAGAGTCCAGAAACACCAGGCCTGCTCAAGGGATGCCATGAAGTACACCAAGCCAGGCTCCTGTTGGCCTCAATATCTGAAATGCTGGGGGCTGAGGCTTCTGAAACCAGCAGTTTGGAGGATGTGAGAGCTGATCTTAATTTTTAAAAAAGCAGCCACCGTTAATTAAGTACAAACCATTGTACTTCTATAATCTCAGTTAATCCTTATAGCAAACCTGATCTCCATTTAGAGATTAAACAAAAATAATAAAGTTAAGAGGGAAAGTACTCAGAATTGAGTAAAATCTGGGGTCTGATACTAATAAGCATGTGGCCTTGTTATTCAACCATGTAGGCATCAGTTGCCTTTTCTCACTGGGTCATTGTGAAGATTAAGTGAGCTATGTATATGAAGTGCTTACCACAGCTGCAGTCAGTCATTAAGTGCTCAAAGGACATTAGTTCTATAATTCTTGTTGGTTGTTTTATCATTGTTCAGAGTTACATTGCTAAATGGGATTTCAAACCCAAGCTCATTCTACTTCAAAACTATATAGTATTGTCCTTAGCTTTATAGTATGGTCATCTGCAGGGGCAGGTAACTGGCCCCAAACAATCGAAGAGGCCGCAGATCCTGGTCAAGCAATAGCCAGACTGCCTCCCACCTGGGAAGTGTATACCCTTCCCTGGCCCTCTCTCCCAAACCTAGACGTGGGCTTGGGTTCCTGGGTACCTTCAGTCTGCAGAGACAGGAGCTGTAGGGTGTGTCTCCATATCTACCTCTGCTATCAGCCTCCTAGCTGAGTAGGGGAAAAGCTCCTTCACAACAGAAAATTGTTTATCAGATAAACTTGTCTCTTATACGCTGTGTGTCACAGAAATATGGAAACCAGGCACTGCCCTTCTAAGAATTCCAGGTTCTGTGCCTGCCCCAGAGTGAAAGTTTTATTCTTTCCTTGGCCCTTTTCTCAGATTGGAAAGCTGAGGTTCAGAGAGGCCTTTCTGTGAGTTCCCAAGGCTCAAAGGAGGACGACTGCTTGAGGTCACCTTTTAATGAAGTGGTTAAGACACTGGGAGTTGGAGTCAGTCACATGCATGCTGGTTCGGCTCCTGACTCGTTGAGTGGATTTGGGCAGACCCCTAGAGCCCGTGGGCCTCAGTTTCTTCATCTATACAATGGGAACAGAACGCTGGATTAAGTGTGGCTAACACTTCCAGTTCTGGGCAGAGAGCTAGCTCCTAGCAGCTGCGGAGCCCCGAGCTAGGGGGTAGCCTGACTACAAGCCCCAGCATGCCTCGGGGGGGCGGGGGCTCAGTGACGGACAGGTGGTTTTGCGAATTGGCGCCCGCCAAGGGGGGCGCGGCGGCGCGTGCGCTGAGAGCGGCGGGTGGGTGGGCTGGCGGCGGTGGATGCGTCGGAGCCGCGGGAGGTCAGGTAGGGGGGGGGAAGGAGGGTCGGGGATGCGGGACCCCGGCCGGAGTCGCGGACAATGGCTGAGCGGCGGGGCGGAGAGCTGTGCTGGCGTGTAGAGGTCGCGCCCGCGCCCGACTAGCAGGGTCTGGGAATCGGATCTGAGGGGCAGGACCGGGGTGGGGGTGGGGCTGTGAGGGGCAGGCTCCGGAGGGATTCGATGGGGCTGACGAGCTCAGAAGAGACGCAGCGCTGGGGGCAGGGGCGGGGGGTGCGAAGATTTGCAGTGCATCATCTCAAGAGGTATGAGGTAATGTGGGGGCCCTGAGAGGAGACGAGATGCAGCATTTGATAGGCGCGGGGGCATCTAAGGGCTTTGGAGGGGTTTGGGGTGCAGAATTTCGGAAATAAGAGGGAACTGGGGGGCCCTGATGATATTTAGGGCACAGAATCTCAAAAGATTTGAGGAAGTCTTGGGACGCATTTGTTTCAGGGGGTTAAGATCTGAGATCAAAAGGAGCAGGGTCTGGGGCGATCCTAATTGCTAAAGAGGGAGGGTTTTCCTGAGTAGGTTCTGGGGAAAATTGAAAGGGCAAGCTCTTGGGGAAAGCAACATCTTGTTAGCAAAAACAAGAGACCTGGCTAAGATTTGAAAGCAACACATGACATGGGGTGGGTGAAAGGGGAAGGAGCAAGGTTTGAGGATGGCACAGTGCCTGATAGAATACAGAGAATGGAGGATAAGATCAAGAGAGGGCAGAAATCTGAGGTGTGGGGTCAGGCTGTTTGGATAGAGTTGGGGTGCAGGGCTGAAGGCTGCAGAGATTTGGAAACAGTGATTAAGGGATCTTTATCAGAGGGATTTGGGATCCATGGGTGAAGAATTGGTGAAGGTTGCAATGTAGAGCCCAAAAGGTTAGACTTTTGTAAGATGGTTTGGAACAGGATTTGGCAAGGATTGAACAGGCTGTAGAATTAAAGGACTCTGAATAGGTTTGTAGGTTGGTGACTTGGGCTGCTAAAGGAGTTTTCCTCAAATCTCTACATGGGGAACAGAAGGGGTTTGGGGACCCAAGGACCTAGAAGTTAATAGGGAAGTGTATATGAGTGCATGACAAGTTCAGGGGTTCAGGAGCAAAGCCATAAATCTTCAGATATCAGGACTCCTGAAGAAGCATGACTTTCCCTCAGAGGGGCAGAATCTCCTTCACTTTTTCAGCAAAGATCGCTTGTCATGAGGCTGGCATGATATGCTGCTAACTCCACTCTGACCCTGGGCCAGCTGAAAGTGGTAGGCTTTGTGGGGAGAAGATACTGGTCAAAGGGAGGATAAAGCAGGAAACTGTTCAAGGTCATCCTCCTAGGTCTGCTTTTCCCTACCTCCGTCTCAAGCCATGGAGGTGCTAGCAGGTAGTGTGTGAGATGTCCAGGGGAATGAGTAAAACATTATCTCAGGCCTTATTTTCCTCATCAGCTAAATAAAGTGGATTGAATTAGATCATATTATTTAAAAAAAAAAACAAACAAAACAAAAACTAAATCCATTGTCATTAAGTTGATTCCGACTCATAGCAACCTTATATAAGACCCATTAAAGCCCAAAGAGTCAGTGGCTCTGTGAATGAGGTGTTTGGGCTGGGAGAAGGGCAAGAAAACGGGAGCTCATAGTTCAGCATTTAATCCTTTCCTGGTTTCTAGAGCAGTGGTTCTTAACCAAGGGCGATTTTGTCCCACAGGGGACATTTGGCAATGTCTGGAGATGTTTTTGGCTGTCAGAATAGGGGTTTGGGGTACTACTGGCATCTAGTGGGAAGAGGCCAGGGATGCTGCTAAATTTCTTACAATGCACAGGACAGCCCCCAGAACAAAGAATTATCCAGCTGAAAATCTCAGTAGTGCCAAAGTTAAGAAACCCTACTGTAGAGTCATATTCTAGGTTCAAATGCTGGCTCTGTTTCTTCTGATTAAGTGATCTTGAGTGAGTTACTTAATCTCTTTGCCTTGGCTGAAATCATCTGTAAAATGGAGTTCATAACAGGACCTACATCATAAGATTATTGTGCAAATTCGGTGAAGTGAGTCAGGGTGCCTAGTGTGTGGTACATAACAGATACTCCATAAATTTAGCAATTTTTAGTTTTTATATCCACTTTTTCAGTTTTCACAACAGTCTTATTAAGTATCTATTATATCCAGTTTTACACATGAAGAAACTAAAGCTTAGAAAAGGGAAGCGAGTTGCATAAGGTTTCATAGCTAAGAACCAAGTCAGAGCTAGGCTAATATCCAGATCTCGGTAACTGTATATTACCTCTTTTCTTGCTTTTTTTTTTTTTTTTTTTTTGTGGGGGTCTGCTTAGTCTTATTATCTCAGCCCATTCCCCTCTAAAGTAAAGGAAGATTGTCCAGTGGGTATCAATGAATATCAAATAGAACCCTAGGAGGAGTATTCTATATGATTAGGTAGGGAGTAACCCTGGACTGTGTTCTTGGTTTGCTGTTAGACCAGGACCAGTGGGTGGATAAGGGGAGGAGCTTAGGTTAGCAAGCAGGATGAGGTGCATTGGACTAGACAGGTATGGAGGCCATTGGCTTAAAAAAAAAAAAGGGGAGGGGGAAGGCAGTCAAACTCTGAAGGAGAGTAATTACTGTTCTGAATGATCTCTTTTGGGCTTCTTTCCCTTGGGACAGAATAGCCACATTGGCTCTCTTAGCTGAGAGACTAAGCCTCATACAGCATTGCTGAAGCCAGTACAGAAACAGCTGGATTGGATCTGAGGGCAAGAGACTTAGCTGGAATACCTCCCCCTCCCCCAAGGAAAATATGTAATGAGAATTGAATCGGCCTGGGAATCAGAGGCCTGAAGTCCAGAGTCCTTACTCTCCTGCTTATTTACTATGTGACCTTGGACAAACACTTGCCCTATCTGCCTCAATCTGTTAAAAATATGAATAGCTACCATTTATCACTTATGTGCTAAGTAAAAGAGCCCTGGTGGCACAGTGCTTAAAGCACTTGGCTGCTAACCAGAAGGTCAGCAGTTGGAACCCACCAGCCGCTCTGCAGGAGAAAGATGTGGCGGTCTGCTTCCATAAAGATTTACAGCCTTGGAAATCCTATGGGGCAGTTCTTCTCTGTCCTGTATGTTCACTATGAGTCAGAACTGACTTCGATGGCAGTGGGATGTGCTAAGTATATGTACATCACATGCTTTATCTCAGTTAATCCTGACAATGATCCTGCCAACAGTCTAGTTGTTATTCCCCATTTTACAGATGAGAAAACTAACAGGTTACATGACTCACCCAAAGCTACATAGCAAGTGGCAAAGCTGGGATGAGAGCCCAGGTCTAACTCCAAAGTTATAATAGTTTTATTAGATAGGCTTTTCCAGCTCTTAAGAGTCCATTTGTCTGTATCTGGAGCCTATATATCTAAACTTCTGGGTGGTAGCCAGAAGTTTACAGGACCCTTGAAGGAGTTCATTGTCCATGCACACCTGTGACACTCCCTCCATTATGTCTTCTGGTAGAACAATTAGATTTAAAAATCATGCCTAGGTGCCTTTACCAGCCTCTCAGCTGGACTCTTCCTAGAGGCATTGGCAGCCAAATCAGCCAGGGAACTATGTAACATAGCTTTTGAATCAGTGTGGTTTTACGGCTTGGAGTCAACACTCCTGGGTTTGAAGCCCAGTTCTACTGCTTATCATGTTTGAAACCTTGGACAGGTTATTTCTCGGAACCTTTCATTTATAAAGAGGTATAATACTTGATATAGCTATTATGAGAATGAGAGATAATGTATGAAAGGTACCTGGCACTCATGAATGGCAGTTGTTTTATGAGAGGAAGGCAGTGCTGGAAGGGAACTGTATTACTGTGCCAGATTTTAGTGACCCTAAGCAGCCTCTATCAGTTTCCCCAAGATTCTCATCCCCTCTTATACTTTCCCCAGGATCTGCTTACAAAAAACAAAAAACCAAACCCACTGCCATCGAGGCGATTCTGACTCATAGCGACCTTATAGGACAGAGTAGAACTGCCTCATAGGGTTTCTGAGGAGTGGTTGGTGGATTTGAACTACCAACCTTTTGGTTAGTAGCCAAATGCTTAACCACTGTGCCACAAGGGCTCATGATTAAATGAACATATGTTGAATGCAGAGAAAGGACTCAAAGGAGAATTGAGTTGGTTGAGATGAGCTGGAGGTGTCCCAAGAGAAGACTGTTGATTTTTCCCTTGACTTTTATCCTCTGAATTATATTGGCAGCATTATTGCTACCCAGATGTTTGTGGAGGATGCAAGGGAACCTTTCTAGGTCCTTCAGTTTTAGAGGAAGACAAAGACAGATTATCAGGCAAGCATTTTTCTAGCAAACCCTATTATTGCTAACATTTTCTTTCCCACAAACATTACCTTCTGGGTTGTTTTATGTATCCCAAATGGGCTCAACTTTCGGGTCATGCCTCTTCAAGCCCCTATTCACTGAGTTCTCTTAGCTCTCCACAGGTGCCTTAAATGCCCTGAGTAATCTAAACTGCGTCAGGATCCTCTCCCACACACAGGACTGGGTGAGTGTCCGGTGGTGACCTGACTTCCTTGAAATCAGTCTTGCTAGCCACTCCCAGAGAATGATCATGGATGGCATGGAGATGGTTATGTACTTGATTAGCATTTTGTTAAAATGCAGGAGGAATAAATACAGTTTTGGAAGCCAACATGAAAGGAGTTGTGGTAAACCTTACAAAAACAAACCAGGAGAGTGTGTCAGTAGTAGGATGGACCTTTATGTCTTGTGAAAAGATATGAAGTACTACTTTTACATGTTTTCTACATTTTAGATGAAGAGCTTTTTTCATGTCTGTTTTTGCTCAAAATTATATCCCCGATGCCTTTCACACTGCCTAACCCATACTAGGTGCTCCATAAATATTTAATTAATTGCTTAATTGAGGTTCTGCAGTTTTGCTCATGGTTTAGGTCCCCAAAGTTGCTGATATGAGTATGAGAAATAGTCATC